TATAGACTTTACTTTCATGTATTCAAAACCTCAGTTTAGTACTCTTACGAGGGGAATCACCCAACTCTTGGTGTTGCTAATCCCACTCTGAAACGGTGGTTATCACCTCTAAGGAGCCAGGTGTCTGAGTGTTTTGCTTATGAAAAACCGTCTATAAGCAATTTTTTTAATATTGAATATAATGTAAAATTTATTATTTTTACACGTGTCTTTCTGTCAAATTGTTGATTTTAGGACATAATTAGGTTGTTCGAAAATGATGTTGTTCCTGGTGGTCAAATAAGAATGGTATTCGGTCATATCTGGGGAATTGTTTATAGTACAGCCTCTGAAAAAAGTTCAATAACTAGAGTGTTGTTACAAAAAAATATAAATATTATTTGAGAACCGTGGGACGATCGCCAGATGGGGTAACTGAGTACTAAATAATAGAAACCGTAATTTTGTATAAATGACGCATTTTACTATTTGATATTTAGTTACGCAATATAGCGGTAGTCTTACGATTTTCTAAATAATTTCCGTGGTTTTCTTGTAATCACTTCAGTCATTAAATATTTTTCCAAAAGCTGTCCTATTAACGGTTCTTCAGATATGGACGCAAGCTGTTCTTATTGGGCCACCCCTAGCAACATAATATTTGAAAAGAACCTAATTATGTCATAAATTCAACTGTTTGTCAAAAATACACGTGTTTAAATAGAAGATTTTACATAATAGTCAATATTAAAGAAATTGCCTATAGACTTTACTTTCATATATTCAAAACCTCAGTTTAGTACTCTTACGAGGGGAAACAGCCAACTCTAGGTGTTGCTAATTCCACTCTGAAACGGTGGTTGTCACCTCTAAGGAGCCAGGTGTCTGAGTGTTTTTGGTTATGAAAAACCGTCTACAAGCAATTTCTTTAATATTGAATATAATGTAAAATTTCCTATTTTTACACGTGTCTTTATATCAAATTGTTGATTTTAGGACATAATTAGGTTGTTCGAAAATTATGTTGTACCTAGACACCAGGCAGGTGTCTGACAGCCGTATGCATAGTCGATCGCCAGCAACTCGCCAGAGATTCATTTCGGCGCATCGCCAGCGATCCGCCGGCGAAAGCCCGAAAAGGTGGCGACTCGCTGGAGATTGTCACCGGCATGTCATTTCACGCAAGTTTTCATGTTCTTTTATAGGGAAAAATTTGATATTCGTTCATTGTTTTTTGAGTTTTAAGAAATAAATTAATAATAGAAAGCGTGAGATGCCGGTGATAACGTGAAAAAAAAACATGAAAACTTGCGATAAATGACATGCCGGTGACAATCGCCATCGGTTTGCCACCTTCTCGGGCTTTCGCCAGCGGATCGCCAGCGACTCGCTGGCGATACGCCGGAATGAATGTTTGGCGAATCGCTGGCGATCGACTATGCATACGGGTGTTAGTGTTTTTGTTATGAGAAACCGTCTATGAGCCATTTTTTCAGTATTGTATATTATGTAAAATTTCGTATTTTATGTAAAATTTCCTATTTTTACACGTCTGTTTCTGTCAAACTGTTGGGACATATTTAGGTTGTTTAATATGTTGTACTTGGTGACCCAATAAGAATGGAATCCGATCATATCTGAGGAACCGTTAATAGTACCGCTTCTGGAAAAAGTTCAATGACTAGATGAGATGTCACAAGAAATACAAATGAACTATTTAGAAAACGTAGGAAGAAATAATAAAAAGCGTAATTTATACAAAATTTTGTGAGTATATTATCCCAGCTAATAGATTAAAGACACACAATTACAATCACAACATTTTACAAATCTTTATCTAGGCTTTCATTTGGACAGAATTCATAAATCTATATATAGGTTTAATTTATATTTTAAAGGATGTCTCTTAAAAATTAAATATTCTTTCCTGTATCTTATTGTAATTTTTCAGAATTTTGTTAGCTACCTCGTGTAATTTTTTCGTTCGTAGTTTTCGCTAAGTTAGAAGGCAACAGCATAAAATCTTCAAGTGAAAAAATTGGGATAGCGGCTGATAAGGAAAACATTGCTGGGAGGTACAACTTACGGGGTTTGTGAATCTTTTCTTGAACATTTGGTCAACTACCAGAGCTTGTAAAGTGCCCGCCAATGAGATTCATACCACAAGAGTCCGTTTGCAAATTATTTGAAAAGTGTTAAGACCATAATATGTTAAGACAATGGGACAGTGGCGGCTCGTGGTAAGTTACATTATCTCTGCATCTTATATTTGTGCTAGATAAATCAAATGCTATCACATTGCAACACTATCGTTTTGGGAATTATAAAAAATCAGCTAGAGCTTGTAAATGGAATGTACCCTCCTTAAAAAATTGTATCAGCAAAACAGCAGAAGAAATATATCCCTCAAAACCATACGAAGCCATCCAAAGAGCATCGAGCAAAGGTATTGACAAAGTCCTGCGAGAAAAGTAGAAATTTTAGAAAACGTTCGTCAATAATTATACACAAAATTGTTAGAATTGATGTATATTGGTCTGTAATGTGTATTATATATTCTATCAAAATAAAAAATATATAATAAAACGTGCTTTATTGAGTTTGCTATATACCCAACAGGCCAGGTCATTGACTGCATTCATTTATATGTTCTATACCTATGTATAATAAAATTAATTATTTTAACATTACATTCAAAATAAAAAAAACATACTCATATAGTATTATATTTACCTTTATTTAACTCCTCTTGAGGTAAGTTTTATTTCCAGGGCACAAGATTCTCTTTAACCCAGGTGAGTTCAGGTAAATTTATTTTAAAATTTCTAATCTTTTATATATTGTTAGACGTTAGACGATGCACGGCTTTCAATGCCGCACCGCTGTGCCGGTCGGAGTGGGGGGTGTTAGGTTTATTTTCGTTACGGAATTTCTTGATTCGGTCGCCGCGCTCAAAGCCCGCGATAAAAGCTATGCAATAGCTTAATAAATACTACAGACTTGTCTAAAGAAGAATATATAACACCTGAAATTTTATAAAAAGTGAATCTCCAGCTAGGTACATGGTACGTCTTATATTGAAAAAAAAAACATCAGATTTAAGCAGGAGCAAAACTAGAAGAAAATTTGAGCAAAATCACAGACGATGCATACATCAGAATATCTTGCTAAAAAACATGAGTTGTTTTTTTATAAAATACTAACTTGGAAATCCATAATTAAGCATAAAATTTGTAAAATTCAAAAAAAATTTCAATACACTAACATTGGAGGTTTTATTTAAAACAACAAAGTAAGACAAAATTATCTAAAAATAAGTGCAACGATTTAAACTTGAGCATATTTTTTTAATTTCTATATAATTTCTTTCAATAATAGTTAAACAAGTAGGTCAATCTCTTTTTTATTCAATATTCAAAGTTTATATTTTATATAAAAATATAATTTATCCTCTTCTAATAAATTGTCATATATTTATGTTACATTATAGCATAAATAAAAATATTTCCAAGCCACATGTAGCTAGAATAAAATAATTTTTGTTCACCTTTGCATAAATAATAAACTAACAAAATAAAAATATACAAATATCTATACAAAAAAAAAGTTAAAAGGTTTGATTTTAAGAAGATGATATATCTCTTTGAGTAGAGGTAAGCACTCTGGGAACTCAGCTATCTCGTATACCTAGTCATTGTTGCAATCATCTATTATTCACAGATCTAGTTTTTTAGCATCATACTATTGTCATCTTGAAACGTACCTTATATAAATATATTTTTGTACAATCGTTCACTGTTTAAGCTTCGAGTGAACCTTTGCAATATTGATACCTTATTACACTATTAAGCAAATTTTGTCCAATCGTTCAGTGCTTTATAGGTAGCTTCTACTATCGCACATGTGTAACTGCGTTTGTGATATACCTACTTCTACTTTTGTGATATTACTACTTGATTTCAAGAACATTTTAATAATAAATTTATATAAAAATTTTGTTTTATTTGAAATTTCCATGCCTCGATTTGAGTTTTTACAATACCTCAATTTCAGCCTCTCTGTATTACATTACACAAAGAACAATATAGTGTGTCCATGGATGGACTATACTTGTAAAAATATTTATTTTAAATTAAAAAGTTATTTTTCATAATTTCTTAATGTGAATCGAATTTATTTAACAAGTAATAGAAATTATGAAGAATTACTTTTTTAATTTAAAATAAATATTTTCACAAGTATAGTCCATCCGTGGACACACTGTATAATGCTGTAGAACTAATTCACATTATAACATCTATAGAAAGTTTCAGAGCAACTTTCAGGATAAGCACTTTAAAAGTGCTAGTGTGATGTTTTTCGAACTTCACTTTGTAACCTCTGTGAGATGTGCAATAAAAGTCTTGCCGTTGCGGACATTCGGTGGTTGCAGGGATATTAGGGTTACATTAAAAGTACATCGCATGTGAGCTTAAAGAGCCTAAAATTGCAGCTTATTAACGTAGATGGGATGTTTTTGTGCTAGCTGGGTAGTTATTTTTTTAGTTACCTATTTTTCCCTGTGTAAATAGGACTTTTCAATTCGCTCCTCCTAGTTTAAAAACAGAGTATAGTAAGTTAAATTTAATGCATAATTAATGTTGTTTGTAAGTCGGCATCTATAACTGTAAAATTTTATATTATAGAAACTTATAATAAAATAAACTACATTTCGTAAGATACATATTGTAACTAGTTTACAACAAATATTATATTTAGATATGAATACATTATTTTACTTACATTAAAAGCTTTAAAAAGAAATTGAATTGATTTCTTCTTGTTTTCTTTAGTTTTACATTTGATTTTTATCCTGTTTTACAATCTGAAACGACGTAAATCTTGCTTTGATGTTTTTGTCACTCATATGAGTACAAGTAACATATGTTACTTGTACTCAGGTACTATTTTCACATTATTTTGATTTTTTCATCAATTTTATATTGACTTACATAGAAAATTGACTGCGCTGTCATTAGCCATGACAACTACAGTAAAGTTCGCGAACTTTATAAAAAGAAGGACGGACATTTGAAATTTGACCATTGCCGATTCGCCTCCTTCTCTCTAGTCTTCATAGTTACAACTCTTTATATCTTAACCAAGTGAGCTCCTAGTTTCTACAATCAATGAAACTTTAAATGTTATTTGATCAAGTGGCTAACAAATTACTGATTTCCCTTTACTCCCTCATTACTTTGTTCTACTGTATACTAAATAAGGAATAGATATTTAATATTAAGGTCCTTCTCTTTATAGTTTAATATTGCCTGCAAAATAAAATTTGACTGGACCCCATAAATTCAGTTAAAAGTAAATTTATTCAATTTCTATTAGGTAAAGTATTTACTACAAATGGCAGTTTTCATAAAAATAAAAACAAAATTTTCTTAAAAAAATGTAATAAATAAATTATAATTTCTTCAAAAAGAACCTTATTCAATAAAATCCTGTTTTATAAGTCTCTAGATATATACAAAAATGTATCTAAAAAATTGATAGAACTTGTGTCAATAAATATGAACAATAATAACAACCAATATATCGACTTTGGCCTATCAACTATTATCATTTTAATTTTTTTTTTCTTAAAAAAACCAACATAAGTTACTTTAATACCCAAAATTATTATAGAACTATTTCATCAAGTACCATTTTGATACATTGGTTCTTTCTCTTTTTCTAAAACAGGCTCTTCTTTGATAAATCTTTTGTTGTTCCATGGTTGAACTTCTCCCGACGCCGCAATAGCATAGAAAATTCCAGTTGTTATGAAAAGCACAGATGCTGTTAAAAATACGATATTCCACAACTCCTTGTCAGTCTAAAACAAAATTAGAAAAGGTTGTTAATTTACTTTAAAAATATGATCTTTTATTTAAAACAGCGTGAATTACACTTGTGTGTTAATAAAAAAATTTTGTTAATGTTCAATATTATAAAATTATTAAACGGTTCAAATAAGCATCCTTGCTGTTGCAAACAATATCCAAATGTATTATACAAAGATAATCTCGGATACTTTCGTATCTCTGGGTTTATCTAATGTAATGTTATGTGGATCATTTTCTGCTTCAATCCATTGAGATTTGCTGCTCTTTCGTCGCCACGGTCTCTTTCGGAAACCCCCACAAAATAAAATCATTATGCGATAAATCTGATGATGTTGGAGACTACATGATCTAACCACGCGTGTAGAGACTAACTGGACTGGAAACGTGACTTCGAGAAATTCTCTCACTATCCGTTAATTGTGATTTGAACAACCGTCTTGATAAGTCAAATATCTCTAAAATTAATCGGAACAATTTGTTCTTGAAGGAACTGTAAATATTTGGCACAGTTCAGATTAGCTTTAATAAAAAAGGGACCTATGATACGGTCGCCAAAAATTCCCTCCCAAACATTTAATTTCTGTGGATGTTAAGTACTAATACTAATGAGCTGATTTTCCCGGGACCAATAATATCGTGCAAAATATGGATTGTGTTTTCTGTGCAAAGGATGGATTATGTTTTCTATGCAATTCTAAATTGTCTTATTCCATTACTGTTTCATACATCCTTTGTAAAAAGTTCCTGAGTAGTTTGAAGTTTACAATAACGATAACCATTTCTTTTTAACAGTCTTTTCATTATTGCTAATTGCAATTTTGAATACTAGAACAAGGTTTATTGGCTTCAACAGCGGTACAGATATGCATTTATCTATTTTCATGCTCCTAATTAATTGGTTTTACACAGTGTCGAAGCTTCCATTGATGCGGTTGTTGCGTCGCATCTCTTCATAATATTGCTATTTTTTATTTTAAATAAAATCTGTAATATCTCTTATAATAAATTGAAACTCTTAATTTCAATTATTTATATGTGTATGTTAGCAGGTAAACAAATTTTTGTGTGATTACTAATTATAGAATTGAAGGGAACATCGGCAGTCAAGAGCGGGGAGTGCGGGAAACTAATGTGATAGTAGCGGACCGTCGTCGGCGCTTCCCCAGGTAGAACGATTTTGAGTCGCATTGAGTGTCTAATGTAGACAGCTGTGGCTGATTCTCACGCATTGTGTTCTATCGGTAATCACTTGGTAACTTAATAATTATTTGACTTAATAATTAATAAAATCTAAAATCAGAAGTGGGATTCGCTCACTAATAGTACCACGGAAGTACCTGGGGGTTGACTATTCCTGTGAGTATTTCCAAGATTATTCATTCGTTAAATTTATCAGTTGAATGATTGTTAAGATTTTTATTGGCCATATTGGTGAATGTCATTTTTGTATTAATTTGTTAAATTTATCAGTTGATTGATTGTTTGAGATTGTTATTGGCCCAATATGTCTTTTTTTTTTTGTTAATTCATTAAAGTCGTCAGAATAATTGTTTGAAATTGTTATTGGTGATATTGGTGGTATTCATTTAAAACACCATCATCCTGAAGAGGCAAATAATGGAATGTACCTATAGAAATAATGTTATTTTCATGTTTTGAAAAAAAATTGCCACTATGGAGAGCTTATTGTTTTAAAAAGAAACTTACCAACCGTATAGCTCTAGAAATAAATTATATTATTTATTGATTTTGATAGTTCTTTTTGAAATAAATTTATAATTCAACTCTCTCATAGATACCGGAGAGAAATGCAGAATGGCCAAAACTGCCAATTGTAATTTAGAGCACTGATAACGTTTAAAGATGTACGCAACGTAAAAATAGTAAAATACCATTAAGAATTAAATGCAATGATATAGGTTCCAAAATTTGTTTTTACGATGTGAACAATTTAGCAGTCTACTGCGCTATTTTGGACAGATAGTGTCTTTATTTTGCAGTCGTTTAATTTTTTTTTTCTTTAGTGTACGGCTTCAACATCTAAGGTCATTAGGCTAGTGTTCTATGTAGGTTATGGATTGTACTAGTAGGCTAATACTCGTTTAATTTTGAATTTTGGTAAAAATTCGATGAGAAAAAAATGTTTTCTTCATTGAAAGGAATTTATATTATCTCTATCAATAACCGGCTGAGAAAAGCATAGAAAAACAAATCGCAAAGAAACTTAAACATTTATTGTTAAATTTGTTTAAATTTCGAAATAACTATTCAACAATATATACCACTGAGTTAAAAATAAAGCTATCTAGTGACGAAGTCACAGCTGTGACCAAGTCATTAATTATCACACTTACTGTTTGTCGGCAAAGAGAAAAGAAAAGGTTGAGAAAATTATATCTGAGCAATTCGTATTGATTGTATTGATCCGTAGTTTAAAATAACCACGAACCAATTAGAGAAACTGAAAAATTCAGACATAACTATTTCATTAAAATAATTTTAATATTTTCCAGATTTGTCCTATTTTACATACATTATGATAAACATTATGTACAATGTCCATAGAATTTTCAATATGAAACATTTTTTCTGTAATAATTATTCCTTTTTTAAAAATTACCTAATTAGCAATCAAATAAAAGTAGTCAAATTGTAATTCACTTTGACATTAGCAGAGACATCAAAAAATCACATACTGGATGTTTAATTATTATCTTAAAACACACGGATATAAAAAAAATTTGTCTATTTTTAAATGCAGCAATAAACAACTTTATTATCTTCTATCCAGTGAGATCCATACATGTTGTAGAATGTAGAAATCTATTTTTTTAATTCATTGTATTCCAGCCAATCAATTAAATTTCACGACTATGAATCCAAACTTAATATCTAAATATTTAAGTACATTTGCTTTAAACAAAACAAATCAATAATTCATTTACTCACTTCTTCATATTTGCCAAGTTTTTTGAATAGATCCACTGCCAATGGAGCTAGTATAGCAGCTACATTTCCTATAGCGTTTGTAATACCCATGAGGGTACCAGAATGATTGGGAGCTATGTCAATGTGATTTACATGGAAACCGCTTAAAATTGCGGTATTTACTCCAACAGCTATTACCAGCACAAATACAGTTAATACTTTTTCTTCTGGACCAATGAAAACGAGAGCAAACAAGGCAATAGCTGGTATGAAAACACCTAAAATAAAAGAAAGTATTGATTAATAAATGCAAATCAATTTTGGTTTATACCATGAACATTTTTTATTGGAAATGTATAAAATTAATTATTTTGAAGTGACAATATATTTTATCAAAAAATCAGGTTATATAACATTTCCAAGATAATCTCCATAGCATAATTTTTTTTATGTAAAGTTTAATTATACAAAATTGAAAAATAGAGTCAATTTAACCAGTGTTCACCAAACAATTTTAAGGGCGAAAAATTAAAATGATCTAATAATAAAACTAAATATGTGAATTGATAAACTAGATATAGACATGTTTGGACTGGTTAGAAAGCTAAAAACTGAATAATGTATCAAAGAGAATATTATTTTTAAATATTGTGAATTGTGTTTTAAGACTGTACTCTCAAGTTATATTAATATCTGATAATTTAATGTGTATATCAACTCTAACTGCTTTTTAACATTTTTCAAACCATTCAGAATAATTATTAAATTAAAAACATTGTTTGTATAAGGAATTAGCTATCTGATCACTATACATTTTAATGTTTAATTTTTTTTTTTTTAATTTAACTCGATTGAGTACTGTCTTATCAAAATAGATGATGCTTATAGAGTACAACTTAGTCTCTACAGAGTGACAACGAAGTAACGTATGTTCTTCAAAAGCTAATTTTCATATAGAAATTTGAGCTATAGAATTATTTGAGAATTGGTAATGCCCAAAACTAAAAATACAGGTAGAACTAGTTTCCATCTAAAGATGGAAATAGTCTCATTGAAAACTCGTTTTTTATTAGAAAAGTTGTGAAAATACTTATATAAGTTTAAAATCCACTTTGCTTATTAGCTTAGCTTCTTTCGAAGGTCAAAAATTAGTAAACGTCACATAATAAAACATGCAATTCACAAAAAAAATGTCTAAAATAGCCCATGACCAACAAAGACAGAGATACAAGTAATGTGATAACCACATGTTTCAAAAATATTTACGTGGGCCATTCCATGTGTGAATTTGAATTTTCAATTGAAGTTGTTTTGTGTAGGTAGGTACCTTTAATTATTTAAAAAAAATGGGAAAATGTTTCAGTGATTAATCTAAACAATTTTAAATGCGGTTTCATATTTCAAAGAGAAGAAAGGTATAATTATGAATTTAACGGAAAAACATTTATAGAAGTAGCAGCAAAATCACTACAGATTTCAAAAAGAACAATTTACTGTTTAAGAATAATCCTGATATTAAGTAAACCCATCAGAGGGTCATCTTTATTTCAGCTGGAATCAGTTATAGTTTATTTGAAAATTAATGAGCAAAAATGTTTAAGACCTAGGGGATAAACCCCAATATAACCTCATAGATCAGTGTTGGAGAATTTATAAAATAAAACGTTTAGCATTATTTGTTCCAAAATAAAATATGGTTTTCTTTCTAAAAATTTTGTTCTAAATTTTCATTTTAATCAACAAAAATAAGGTAAGTATGTGGGTAATCTCTACAGGTATTTAAAAAATACTTCAAGAAATTTAGTATTTCTTAACGCACCTTTCTCCACTGAATGAAGTTCTTACAAAACCACCTATAATAACAGAAAGAAAACATTCTCGCTCTTGAGCTTGAAAGAAAATTCTAAAACAATTGCTTCTTGTTTATTTTACACGAATTTCATTCTAATCCTAGATACAAAATGTCAGTTATGTAATAGCTACTGGCCAGTAGCTGTAAATACCACGTCCGCATCGTAGATAGTCATGAATTTCATGACTGACAGTTATATGCGACATATTATTTATTTAAATTGCAATATTTGCATGAATAAAGATAAGCGACATTTGTTGTCGAACTAAAATTCAAAAATTGATATACAGGGTGTCCTTTAAAATGTGTCCCAAAATTCTCAGGCAGATTCCTTAACCAAAAAATGGAAAAAAAGTTCCTATAGACCTATGTCCTAAAGTGCCCCCTAAGCGAGCAACAGCCTCTCGAAATCATTTTTTTTATTTTGATTTTTTGAATTTTCTTAAAAATGGAAACAAATAAAAGAACCAAATTTTGGCTGTTAAATATGATCAATAATAGTGACCTTTTGACACCTTCAAAAAGAAATTATTTCGTCAGGGGTGTACTTGGGAATTTTTTAAAAATTTTGATTATTCATAACTTTTTTGTGTTTTTGGTAATGACTTATCCATATTTTTTTTTACATTCTACATTGAAAACTACGTCAAAAAGGAATACTTGTTTGATCTCGATTGGAGCAGCCGTTTCCGAGAAAACATCATCCAAAAATATTCGTGCAGTTTAGGTTAATTTTCAATTTTGGCTGTTGTAGCCAAAAAGTTGGAAATCGAGGAACACGGCTTACATGTCCCTATCCTTACTTTTGAAGGTCTATTCAGTGGCAAAAAATATTAGTTGATACAGGGTGATCAAAAATCGGATGTGATTTTGGATTTTTGATCACCCTGTATCAAATAATATGTATTTTATGTCACTTAATAGACCTTAAAAAGTTAGGATAGGGACTGTAAGCCGTTTTCCTCGATTTCCAACTGTTTGGCTACAACAGCCACCTGAATTTGAAAAAATGTGATTTTTGAGTAGCTGTAGATCCTTTACTATTCATATTAGATAACAAGTGTGATATATCATTGAAATCAGATTATCGAGCAGATTCTAAAAATATAAAAATATACAGGGTGTTCCATTTAAAAAACATAACTTTGATTTGGCACGGCCTTATGAAACACCCTGTCACATCGTAACTAATTTTAAAATGTGAAGCTTAAAGCTGCCTACTTTTATTATAACAGATCTACAGAGCTTCCTCACACTAATCAATCACCCTGTATACTATTTTTAGCTCTCTAAATAAAATTTAAAAATTTAGTTCCCATTTATTTATTATGAAGACCATAAGGTTTGTATTTAGCTGTTTAGAATAAAAAAGTAAAAATATGTATTTTTTTGGCGTTTTTGTGTTTCATGGATAATTTTTTTCGCTCACTGATAAAAATGTTTCTTCAGTTAAACATTATTTCTAAAAGTGTTCTGGTGCGATTCGTTGTATTGTTATTATTTTGTTTAAAATGGCTCACAATAACTACAATAATGATTACACATTCGGCGAAATGACGGACATGCACTTATGTTTTGGACTCGCTTCTGGAAATGCCAATGAAGCTCGCAGACTTTATCAGGAGCGCTTTCCAAATAGGCATCTTCCATGCGCTAAGACGTTTTCTAGAATTGACGATAGACTTTGGGAAACTGGTACATTTAAGAAAAACTCTAGTAACAGTGGAAGACAAAATTATGTGAGAACTCCTGCTTTGGAAGAAGCAATTTTGGATAGGGTAGCTGAAACCCCATCGACAAGTACCAGAAAAATAGCAAATGGTAAGTAATTACTTATTTATTATTTTAGCTACCCCGTACCTTATCGTATAAAACTAGTTTTTTTACTTGTTATTGCTTCTCTTACATTTCACGACTTTTCGTATCGAAAAGAGTTGCGTTATGCAGAAAAAATCTGATTTCCCAAATCAATGGATTCTCTTTCTTAACTATTCACTACACAGATTCTCTCATTTAATTTCAGAAGTGGGAGTCGGACGTAACACGGTATGGAAAGTTTTGCGTGAACAACAATTGTACCCTTACCACATTCAAAAAGTTCAGGCACTTAAAGCTACTGATTATGAGCCGCGAGTTATCTTTTCTGAATGGTTTCTTGGAAGATGTAATCAAGATGCAATGTTTCTTAATAAAGTGCTATTTACCGATGAAGCTGGTTTCACTAGAGATGGTATAATAAATTTTCGAAATATGCATGAATGGGCTGAAGATAACCCTCACGCGGTTGTTGAACGTCACCACCAGGATAAATTTTCAATAAACGTCTGGGCTGGAGTTATTGATAATTACCTTATTGGACCATTTGTTTTGCCGAATAGGTTAAATGGAGCAGCATACAGGCTTTTTTTGGAAAATAACTTACATGAGCTTCTTGATAATATTCCGATTCAAATCAGACATAACATGTGGTTTATGCATGATGGAGCTCCACCACATTACAGCCTTGAAGCTAGACAGCACCTTAACGAAAGATTTGAGGGTAGAGTAATTGGCAGAGGTTGTCCTGTTAACTGGCCACCTCGTTCACCAGATCTAAATCCAATGGATTTTTTTGTTTGGGGTTATTTAAAATCATTGGTTTATTCCAGTCCTGTTGAAACAGTTGAAGAATTGGAAGAACGAGTTTTTCATCATTGCGAAGTTCTTAGGAATAATCCTGAAGTATTTTTTCGTGTAAGACAGTCTATGATGCGACGGTTGCGCTTGTGTGTGGAAACCAATGGTCGCCACATTGAGCATCTGCTTTAATTTTTTTTGATTTGTTTTTTTAGAATAAATATTTTTTTAAACCGTTTCTTATTATTAAATAAAAATAGTCCCACCACGACATTTGAACTACAATTATTTAGAGAGAGCTAAAAAAGTTATTTTTATTTACGAGATTCACCGAGGTAATTTAGGAAAATTGAAAATTAAGCTAAAGTGGACGAATATCTTTGGATGATGTTTTCTCGGAAACGGCTGCTCCAATCGAGATCAAACAAGTATTCCTTTTTGACGTAGTTTTCAATGTAGAATATAAAAAAAAATATGGATAAGTCATTACCAAAAACACAAAAAAGTTATGAATAATCAAAATTTTCAAAAAATTCCCAAGTACACCCCTGACGAAATAATTTCTTTTTGAAGGTGTCAAAAGGTCACTATTATTGATCATATTTAACAGCCAAAATTTGGTTCTTTTATTTGTTTCCATTTTTAAGAAAATTCAAAAAATCAAAATAAAAAAAATGATTTCGAGAGGCTGTTGCTCGCTTAGGGGGCACTTTAGGACATAGGTCTATAGGAACTTTTTTTCCATTTTTTGGTTAAGGAATCTGCCTGAGAATTTTGGGACACATTTTAAAGGACACCCTGTATAATGAT